AAAGGCTGTTGCTTAAATCTTCAAAAAGACTGAGTGTTACAATCAGCCAGCCTGAGGGTTTTTAGCTTCATTTTTACGAGGCCTGTAATCAAATGTGTTTATACCCTTGCTGTAAATTTGCATCCAGTCCAAATTGCTGTTTACTGTACCTGACTCTGCCAACTCTGCCTGGAATAAACTTTTTTTTTTAATTATGCAGTTCATGGGATGTAGCTTTACTGCAAAATGTAAAACAAAGGATCAGAGAAAGACACAAGATCGAGGGGACATTTTTGTACCTAAACACTGTTCTTAACATTCAGATAAAAAGGTGATTTAGGTAATTGGTTCAGAACTCCGGATCCACTCCTCCCTATGTGGGCTTGTTCTCTCTCAATTTTTTTTTTTTTTTACTTTTTGAGACTTTAGGGGCTCAGTAAAGGAGTCAGATGACGGGACGTTAAAAGGGGGGGCAAAAAACCTGCAGGAAAGAAAAAGGAAATGAAGAGAGGAAAGGAGGAGAAAAGTACGAAAAAAGTGAAGAAAAAAATAGTTATTATGTCGGACTCAGTAGAATAGATTACCCTGCAAGAACTGCTGTTAGGATTTAACCTACAAGCAGTTTTCCTGGAGAGAGAGAGTGTGTGTGTGTGTGTGTGGGTGTGTGCATGCGTGCGTGTGTGTGTGTGTGTGTGTGTGTGTAGTGCTCCGCTCTGCAGTCTCTGTGGGATCCTCTTTTATCCCTGAGCCCAACATAACACACACCATCTTTGCTCTCCAACTTTTCTCTCTCTCTTCTGTGTGCTTTTTATATCACAAATACCAAACCACACAGTTACGCGCACTTTTACTTAGCTGCTTAAATTCAGGCTCACCCAGGAGATCAGGTTTTCTTACACAGACATGATGCATTTGCTTGAATTGAACTTCAAGGATCATGGATTTCTATCCGAAATGAGTTAACAGATTTGAAGAAATCAATGATAACTATTCAAACTGACTAAAGACATGTTTCTGAGCAGGGTCTGTGAAGTATCTTCAGCATGTTTGCATGTTTTTAAATGAATGATTTCTTCAATACAGGACATTAGTCGTTTGTCTTAAACATTTATTAAATCCATAGAAATATGAGAAAACACTACATTTACTGAATTTGCTGGAAATTGGTATTATTGAAAAAGAAAGGTCAGTCGATATACATTTGTCCTGTAAGCTTAAAACCACTCATGTTTTTGAGGTTAATATGTAGTAAACAGTGGTTAGCTTAACTTAAGCTACAGATTTAAAAAATGGGGAACAGTTAGCTGGGCTCGGTCCAAAGTTGACCAAATCCATGTAAAACTTGTTTTTATTTTTAGTGTCTCTGTATTGAATTATACTTCCTGTTACATAAAACATATTATAAGCTTTCCACCACAGTAACAATTGGTTTACTATATTGGCAGTCTAGAGTGGGACATACAGTGATCCTTGGATGTGTTAAGGAACAGTGGTACATTTTGAGTAAGGATCCTTGAAGCTGAAAAGCAATAAATATGGAAGCCCTGACTAAACAAGAACTACAGTGGTCTCCCACTTCTCAGTGTGCATATTTATTGTCCAAGTGTCCTTGAGCATGGCAGTAAAGCCCACAGGCCTCTGACTTGAATTGGTTTGATCCAATCTGGGAACTATTTCTTTTCAATAGATTTGGAAGCAAAGTAAACTTTTGGTAAGTTGATTTGCATTTCCTGTGCTTAAAACACAACGTTTTTTTTTACAGCATTCAGTGATTGAAATGCTTTGTTGTAAAATGTCAGTCGACTTTTTTCTGCAGCTCTCCTGACAACATTTTGACTTAAATTGTATAAACAAAGCAAGTGCACAGTTTAGTGCACCGCACCGTGTTATAATTCCTTGTTTCTTTATGTTCAAACTGTTCTCGTTTCAGGATTTGCCCTGCAGGTAATAAGAACAACATCACAGCCGCTGGTTTTCTCTCTGGTAAACACCAGATGCTTTAGTTTTTGTCTGAGATATATGATACTAACTGTTAAAATAATGATGTATGAACATTTTTGTCTGACTGACTGGAGGCTGGCTGTTTGGTGTGCTTGCTTACAGGTTACTGAAGCTGCTGCTGCTGACTGTCTTGGAGGTTAGGGAAGCTGTCTTGGCTGTGTTGATTGACAGTCTTGCCTGCATTGCTGAATCGCTGCATTGACGCACCAGCGGCTAAAGAATCACAAAGCTCTGTACCAGCAGAAAAAAATCAATAGCTGTTGAAGACGTGTAAGTAAAAAAAAAACAGCTTTTAAAGTCTTTTCACAAGTATGGATTGAATTTATTCTTGAGCCATGCTGTTGCCTTTAATACTCATCAGACAAAACACACAATGGTGCAGTAAGAAGTGTTCTTTAAAAAGGCAGCGGAAGAAAATATCCGGCAGTCATCAGTGGGAGGTTTTGTTGAGTGACCGGTGGAGATTTAACTTTTCGGCATCTTTCCACCTTCTTTTTTTTTTTAACTTTTGAGGGAGTTCATCAACATAGGTCACAGGTCAACTCTTTTACAAAGACAACTAACCTGATGGTGTAAATATAATGGTGTTATATAGAATATAACTTTATTATTAGAACTGCCATGCTGACTGGATGGTTAATTTCTTGGTTTCATGCCAAACAGCTCACCAACCATTACACACATATTGACGTACATACATCGCATATCAAACTTTACAGAACGCTCAAACAAGGGAGTCTGAAAATGAAGTTCTGCAGACCTGTGTGTCAGAAGTCAGAAACTTTATCCAAACTCTTCAAAGCATTGTCAGTTTTTCTATCAACATGTCAGCATACTTAGACACACATCCTGTAAAAAGACATATTTCTAGACTTTTGTTGGAGAAAGAAATAGCAGCATGATGTATGAGGTTTGGCAGGATGACCGTGCGCAGGCATGCTGCAGCTCTCATGTGGTCAATAAAGATTACTGAAGCTCCTGGAGAGGAACATTTTGGCCCTATCATTCAGAATTCCTCAGTAAGACCGCCTGTAAGTCTGCCTGCAGCCATCACATTTATTGATTGCTTTCTGTTAAGGAGCAAGGCTGCAGACAGGGCTAATGTATGTAAGTAAAAGAGAGTGAATGTTTACGTTGGTTTTGGTGCGCAGACAGAACAGTGTGGAGAGACAAATGCTGAAGAAGACAAGAGTGAGACTCCAAGGGTCCACTTGACAAAAACAAAGTTTGTAAGGCTGCACCAATTTCGTCTCTCCCACTGCACATTTTGCTCATCGCCTTACAGTGAGATATTGACTCCCTGCGGACTCACATGCCACATGATCATTTCTACAGCACTGGATAATTTACGTTTGCATCTCTGCGAGGCTCTAAAACTTGATATGCATCATCATCTTTTGCCCAAGAGGCAAAATATAGCATTAGATCATAAAAAAAATATTGGAACGATGCAAGATAAAAAACAAAGAATGATTGCTTTTTCCCAGCTCAATATATCAAGAAAATATTTGCAAAATGCAATTTTAGGGGAAAAATATGCAAATTTGAAGCATGAAGCATTGCAACCATCAGGAAGTGCTATACTTATATCATGTTAGAATGGGGAATATGCCGAGAAGAAGAAAATCATTCAAAATGAACTATAATGACAACATCCCTTCTCACTGTAGCCTCACCACTTTTTTTTTGCATGCAATGAAAGATATCACTCATATGTGAAAATTGGCCCCATAACACATGGTGGCATATTGACAGCGCTCAGGTAATAACAGGTGGCAGATCTGCATTTATCAGATGTAAGAAGAGAGAGGTGGGAGACAGTAAAGATGGAAAGTAGGCAAGTAGAGAGAAGTGAGGTGAAAAGTACTGATATGGTGATATGCAGCAGACTGCAGGTGTGCGATCCCAGGGATAATGGTATCGGCTGTCTCCCCCGGAGTGCACATTTCCATCACCGTGGAAACAAATCAGGGTGCGGGAAAGCTCCAATGCCAATCATAATGCGATATCACACCCTGGAGAACAGCATATGTGTGAAACAGTGCTCGTCTTTTGAAAGAGTGCAAAAAACACAGACAGATAGAAGGACGGACGGACGGACGGACGGATTCAGCTGAAGCGGAAGGAATTGTGCTATCATTAATGTTTGCACTTTTTCCCCCCAGGGCGGATGTGGCTCAGTTTGTAGAGAGAGTCGTCGTCTCTCAAATGGAAGGCCGAGGGTTCGATCCCCAGCTCCTGCAGCGACATGTCCGATGTGTCCTCGGGCAAGACACTTAACCCTGAATTGCTCCAGCTGCTTCATCAGCGGTGTATGAATGCGTATGAATGGGATGAGTTACTTCTGATGGTCTCACTGCATAGCAACCTCCGCCATCAGTGTGTGAATAGGTGTAAAACCGCTTTGAGTCGTCAGAAGACTAGAAAATGGCTATATAAGATAAAGTCCGTTTACCATTCACCCCCTCCAGGGTATTCATTTGACGCATTTTCTGCTTTTCATGGTTTTATTTTGAAAGGGTTTGAACCCTTTAAAGTTTCAAGCTCCTGCACTGACCCTGTCATCTTCTAAGTCTCTTTCGCTGTCGTTTTAGGGTCATTATTGAGCTTGGGCTTGAAATAACAAAAATATAGACCATCTGATTCTAACTTTAGCCTTCTTTGACCTCTTTCATTCATGAGCCTTTTTCCTCTAGTGAGCTACATGTCCTTTGGGAGGTGGACCACTCTAGTTACACACAGGACAGTGCTGTATTTCAGTTCTTTACTAACACCCTGTCAAGCTGTCTTTGTCCCAGTGATTTTTTTTTTTTTTATTGTGACACTTCCTGTAATATTTTGAAATGTACCTGTCTCTGTCCTTCAGAGTCCTGCTCCCCAATTGACCTCACCTGTGTCTCCTCTTCCCCTGATTGCCTCGTCATACCCTTTCTTTCCTCCTGTTGCCAGTTCAGTGCATGAACCTTAATGTCACCTCCTCCCAGCCTTATTGTTCCTCATGCTCGTGAGTGATACGTTTTTTTGGGGGGGGAGTAATTGACCACGACTTATTTTTCTTGAATCTGGCTCCTGTTGATTTATTTGCTTGGATCTGAGTTTTCTGTGTACCAGACCATGGACTGAACATGAAACTGTGCCAGTTTTTTTCATCTTTGCCTGCATTGAGTGAGTTGAGTATTTGAATCCATAACATGTCAAGATTTTATTTATTTCACTTACCTGGCACCTTCTATAGAAGAAACTGTTCAAAGGTTTAGCAATGTAGCCTTTATACATTCCCATAAGTTTTTTATTTGCAGTACTGAAAGAGAAAGTGGTATCCTTCAATCAAATACTTTTTTTTTCAACTTTCCTCAACAGCTGTTCATACCTCCTTTTATCTTTATCGTCTGTTGTTGTCTTTCCCTCTTCTTTCTCTCTATTGTTTGCGTCTATCCGTCTCTATCATATATAATGAAATCGGAAACATGTGAGAATTTACTGAGAGGCTGAATTCTTAGTCTTCCCTGTCTTTCGAAACAATCATGCCGAGTTGTGAGTATCCAACTGGGCCCAAACGCTGAAAGACTTTAAAATCCTGACTTAAGTTCTTCCTGTCTTCATCTCCTGTGATCAGGGTAGATTTAATAAGTGAAATTGAATGTGGATCACTCCTGGATTTACCCGATCAGCCTGTTTTAGATGAAAAGAGACAGTTTTCAGAGATTTGTTCTTATTGTACATTAACATTGCAATGAAAAATATTCATTCAATGAATCGTGCATAAATTATTATAATCATTTTTTGTACTCCATTTGGAAGGCAGTTGATGTCAAATATATATATATATATATATATATATATATATATATATATGGACGCTACCCTGCTGCTCTGACGTTACAAGGCGTTGAAAGTATGTAAGAATGTACATAAATCCATAGGCACAAACATACGGAGAGCCCCAGCACAGATAAATTCCCGCTCTCAAGACACACACGCACACACACACACAGTGACACACACACACACACACAGTGAGGGGACTTCTGCAAAGCCAGCAGAGTAATCATCTGACTGCCTTAAAAAAAAAAAGATGAGAACCTACTGTGAAAATGGCTTTGTGAAAATAACCCCCTGACACAAGCAAACTTCTGCACACAAACACACAACCACACAATCCTTTAAAACTGAATCTCACATTATAGCGCATGATTTGAAGGTTAAAGCAGTAATAACGTTTTAAAGACACAGAGTTCCAACTTCAAATGCTTCAACTCTCTCTCATAGCAAAAACAAACTATTCCTGTTTGAACTCAAGCTTAAAAGTAATTTAAACGGCTCTGCTGTGGGGCATTCAATGACGGTAGGACAATGTGCCATCACTCACACAGAAAGCTTCTTACAGAACAGTGACACAAATGGATGTTTCACATTTTGACTATAAAGCAGCGAACGTTTTATTCCCCTCAGTATGTTTAGCACATGGTTCAAGATTTATAATTGCTGATTTTAATTCCTTTTATACTATAGATTCAACTCTCCGGGGAATTTTGGCTTATGTGTGCAAAACATTTGATTTAAAAATAGAGGAAACTACAGGGGAGGACAAGCATTTTTAAAACTTAAACGGAACATGCACAGTGCCATGAACACAGTATAGGCGGCTTTAACAGAATCCAATCCGACAGAGGCTGTGAACTCTTAAAATCATAACAAAAAATTATAATATTAACAGCGAGGAGCGGTTATGGAGTGAATAAGTTCACTGCGCTCAGCGTTCTGCCTCTGGTCCTGCCTTTAAAACCTGACCCACTATCTCTTTCTGTCACACACATAGACTACACACACTGACTTGCTGTCACACACTCTTATGCAATTGTTCTTTTACCCTCTGACTTTTTTTTTTCAAGCAATCAGATAAAAAAAAAAAAAAGACTAATTTATAACCTCTTTCTTTCCATGCACACTTGCACATGCTCATTCTGCTGTGACATCAGTTTCTTGGGCTGTAAAGCAAAGTGAAATAAAAAGTGTTAAAGGAGGCGGGATGAAGGGAATTATAGCGAATAAGTGACAATGTAGCAGAGATTCATTTTATGCATTACAAGCTAAGCCGAGGCTCCTCATCCACGGGGTTTCCCTTTCTGGTCCCTTATGCATTTGGAACAATATAGGGTCACCCTCCCAAAGACGCTAATCCCCTGAATCTCTCTCCTTGTCCCTCGCTGCCTTTGTCTGTCCCCTGCTGAGACAGCATGTAGCCCTCCACTGGGAAGCAGCAGGGTATTAAAAAGTATTAAGGAAGAGTCAGAGTGGGAATTGGAAGCGATAAGAAATGAAAGTTTACATACAGCGTGGCTATCTTGAAAGCTTTTTCTTGGAGAAAGGGATTAGTGAGAGGCGGGATGCCATCACTGTGGTGGACAATCATCAGATACAATATACCACTGCAATACGTTATCTATAACTAAAATAATCTGGCTGCTATTGAGTTTAATTCAAAGTGATTTCATGGCAAGAACTTGTTAAAGTGTCAAGTAAAAGCATCAAAAGGGAAAGAGAAACAAGCAACCAAAGAAGGAAGCATTACTTGATCTGTATGTGTGCTTCGGAGTGTTTTAGAGTGTGTACGTGTATTTGTGCATTTCTGTGTTAAAGACAGTTGAAGGTTTAATGTGATGTGAAGCCAAAGTGTAATTTAAAGGCACAAGTCTACTATTATCTCAAGAAAGTTGAAAACAGAATGTGCAGAAGCTGTCCATCATAACGTTACATTTATACAAATCTGGACTATGCAAATCCAAATGCAATATCATTTTTAAATAACCTCCCATGTGCATGGATTACTCAAACACACATTTATCATCAGCAGAATATTTTGCAGCTTCCTCTGTAGTAATGTATTCTAAGTGTTTCTAATCAAGGTGATAACACGACCGAGCCGTGATTAGGACCTGCTGAGCCGCCGGGCAGCAGCAGCCTCCTCCCAGTGTTGACCACAGACTCTTATCACCTGTTTGCTGTGTTTACAAGGGCACAATCAGATGCATTTGTTCATTTACATGCTGTCCACACCTTTAACTTTTGCATATATATGAGGCCATTTCCTTTTCCTCAGCCCTCAATAAGTGCTCTTAGGCAGAGTTATGGCTCACCTCGATGAATAGCAATTGGTGCTCCTGTCATCTAAAACAGTGGTGTGATGGCAGCGGTGCAGTGAAGAAGTTTTTAGTGGCAAAGTTTAGAAAGGAGGGATCGATTTGTGTTATTTGACATTCAAGGAAATACTTTGTTTGATCACTCAAATCTTTGAGAATAATGGATGCCATTAATACAACACAGTTTTAAAGGCTTTTAAAAGTACGATGCCAACGTCATTCCCCAACTATTGAATAAAACATTCAACACACAGCATCGTCTGTATCGGAACAGTCACATTAAAGGCCTGACATTAAAGGCCTTTGTTCACCTTAAGTACACTGTTGCCAGTTTAACATACATTCGGTAGCTGTTAAGAGGTTCTATTTCTAACAGCTGGATGAAGCAGTTTGAATCTTTTAAAAAGAACTTGGAAAGTGCACACTGGTGAGCTAAGTGACGGACGTTTCAGAAACATTTGGAGACGGGAAAGATTGACGACACAGACAAGTGAGGTTCTAAGTTGAAGTCAGGTAAATATTGGAGCCTCTCACACATTAAATTGAGCTCAATATCAAACAATAGACAAATTACGTCATCATAAACACATTAATATTAATAAAACAATTGTATTTGTTTGTAGGCCTGCAGTGAGCAGTATACCATAATCAATCAATCAGTATTTCTAAAGCGCCAATTCACAACAAGTGTGTTATCTTGAGACGGTTTACAAAAGAGCAGGTAGAGACATGACTCATTGTTATGTTATAAAAGCAAAATGGGATGGGGGAAATCGGATAAGATGCAAGAAGGATTTCTCCTTGGTGGAGGTCGAAGCAGGCTGTGTATGAATGAGGACGGCAGTGTTTGTGGTGACGACCCAGTTCGATGGTGGTGGCTCGGCGTCAGGGATGTCCGGTGGTAGGAGTGGACGGTCAACTCGCTGACGGTTGGGGGAGCTCCGTCATAAGACTCTTTTGATAACCACGTCATGCGTTATGAAATTCTTAAACTACATTCTGCTTAAATGTTTTATCACTGATGTCTCACTAATTCATTTATGCATTGGACATTTAAGATGGAATGTTACGTGTAGTGGGCATAAGATAAGTTTTTAGTGAACACCATTTTTGGTGTTTTATTCACGTTGTCATAGACCTCAATTGGATTTTTTTGTGTGTTTCTTGTGTCATTTGTAGTTTTTGCCATATTTGCAGAGTCTGTCATGTCTTGTTTTACTTCCCTCCTTTGTGTGCTGTCCTGTCTTTGTTATTGTGGGCTCCACATATTGTTTCCCCCACGTTGTCTTTCCCTCGCTTGTCTCATTACCCTGTGTGTATTTTAGTCTCTGTGTCCCTTTCCTTCTGTGCCAGTTTGTCATCAAACTTTCCAACCTGTGCTCCCTGTGAATAATCTTTGTAGCTCTTCATATGTTTCCTCTGAGCCAGACTTTGCTGATTTCCCTTGTGGAGTTTTTGATTGCACCTTACGGACTCGCTTTCACAGTAAGCCTTTTGTTTTCTCCTACTTTTATAATTGGCATCATTGAAATGTGACACTTGCGTACACTTTTTGGATGGAATCTTTAGAATGTATTTTAAAAAGACATTGAAGTCATCAGTAATATCACATGATCTTCCAACAATAATTTGATCCATTATGAAACACTTAACAGACATGTTAAGGCTGGTCACCTTTTTAGTCCTCACACATATATTTACATAATTTGAGGACATTTTTGGAGGACATTGTAGCACTTGCATTGATTGCAGAACATAAACCTCACAATAAAAGAAACGTTGGAGACCACAGTGCAATCCGCACAAGGAGTTTCAGTCGTGCTGTCCTGTTGGTTTGTTTTGGATTACATTTGACGCAAGCAATGCATTGATCCTGTACATAAAAGGGATTATGAAACTTATCAACATGTTCTTCACTTCGAAGAAAAGTTCTTCCTCTTCACATAAAAAGGAAAAACTGTCTCTGCAACAAAAAAAAATCTTGCAGAGACAGATGCATCATCAGCTTTGTTCGGGGATCAGACG